CAGGGCACAGAGAGGCGGACACAGGTCCCCGAGGCGCCATGCTTTATTATGGGGTGGGGAAGAGAGCCAGGGGAGCTGGGGATGGGAAGGAGGCTGACAACTCGGGGTGCGAGGCCCGGGCGCGGCGAGGCCGGGGGCTAGCAGGAGGTGAAGGTTTTCCAGAAGAAGTTCTTGCAGGGCGCCTTGCGGTCCCGCTGCGAGAGCTGGGCTAGCCGCCCCAGCACGGCCCGCTCCTCCTCTGCCTTGCCCTCCTCTTCGGAGGCCGCCTGGCGCCCCGCGTCCTCCGCGCCCTCCAGCAGGCCCGCCAGCATCTTCAGCAGGGCGTCTTTGCGCACTCTGGTCTGCTCCTGCGGGCACAGAGCAGCGGGAAGGGGGGACACACAAACAAAAAGCAGGGCAGCAGGTGAGACCCTGCTCCATCAGAGGGAGGGTCAGGCCTTGCACAGCCAAACAGCTGCTTAAACCCCACCACACAAAACTGGAGAATAAATAAGGCCCAGAGCAGAGTGATGCTAAGTGCTCCGGAGTTGGCCGCTGCCTGGGCTGCTGCTCCCGTCCCCTTGCCCAGCCAACTGGACAGAGAAAGGCACATGTGCATTGCCATAACTGGGAAAAAGCTGCTAACAAATAGGCGTAAATGAGCTGCAAAGCCCCTGGCTGCCTGCGGCAATTAGGTTTCAGTGAGTGCCAAGCTGCCGCGTCTCCGTGAGGTCAGGAAAGAGGCAGCGAGTCCCCTGCGTCACTGCAGCATCTCCGAGTCTGCAAGCCCTGTAAGATGCGGGGAGCTGCCTGCAACAAGGAGAGGGCTGGGCTGAGCTGAGCGGGGATGCGGTCCCCCAAATATCTGAAACAAAATGTTTACTCTGTAGAAGCAGCTGTTATTCCAAGAAGTTGAATTTGGGGAAAGGCAGGAGGGAAGAGGAGTTGCGCGGCTCCATCCTTTTCCAGGAGCGCATTCAGAAATGTCTGTGCAATTTGGGGTTTGAGGGATTTCCACCGATAACAAGAACTGTCAGTTTTATTTCTCTTAACTTCATATCAAGCAAAACTGATGAACTACCTCTTGCTTGAATATTCCTGGTCTTTGAGACTCATTGGCAGAGAAAACTGGGCCTGGATTAGCTGGTCAGTCTTATTGAAAGAGATCCAATTTCCCACATGGATGGGGAAGTGAAGTTTTGTATGAATTCTGTCAGTAAACATGGCATTTCTGAGAATCATCCTGTCTACACTGGTACTGACAGGTTTATTTACTAAAGACTGCTTAGTGAATGTCTTGAAAGATGGATAAACACAGGTAGCAACAATTATCCTGGCTTTCCTTGACAGAATATTTATGGATATTTTTGAAGCATTTATTTAGTGCTAGTTACTTATTCTGTTTTCAGGCAGAGGAAACTGAGGCGTGGAAAAACTGATGCTGTGTCTGTGGTGGAAGTAAAGATAAAAGCCAGCCTGGGTCCATCGCGATTCTCATTCCCATGCTGCAAGCACAGAAATGTCTGAGCCACAGGGAGACGGGCTGGGGAGCCCAGCTGAACACATCTCCTGGGTCCTGCCTTCCTCCTGAACTTCTTTCCTAGCCTTATGTTTTGAAATATCTGCTACAGATGAGCCCTGTGACGTTGGAGCCATCTGCTGAAGATTCAGACCCTTAGTAAAGAGAAATTAAATAGCTGAACTAAAACTCTCAGGAGATGAACTTGCTGCTTCAGACTCCCAGGTGGGAAGGAAAATCTCAGCCTGCTGTTAGAGGATATTCCTTATGCATGATCAGCTGTGGTTATTAGTGTAACCAGGCAGCTCTTCCCCTGCACTAATCCTTGCTATCTTCCATTTTTGTTTTTGTTTTGTTTTTCTTTTCTTCTTGATAGCTGCTCCTGAGTTGCAAGAGACCAAGACTGGCAGCAGCTAGAGATCCTAATGCTGGTGGGTGACAGGCACACTGTGAGGCTGATGCTCCATTCACTGTATGACTTCCAACCGTGCGTCAGAGTGCACACATCCTTCTTTTGCATTTTTACACATTTTATGATAGCTTATATGTAGAATCCTGGCATAGTTCACACAAGAGATTTGTCTGAATTATGGCACAACAATGGTGACTGCAAATACTGATGAATCAGTATCTAACATTTTTTTCAGTTTGTAAAATTCTTTAAAGAGAATCACTGTATTTATTTTGATAAATCTTCGAGGCATTATTTTCATTTTACCAGTGCCTTACTCAGTGATTTGTTCCCCACAGTGTGTTTCTTCTTTTCCAGCAGCTCATGCTTCTCAGGAAGAGTTCATTTTTAAAGTATTGGATTTGTTATTTTAAGAATCTACAGCTGAAAGTTTGCAGTTATCCCCAGAAGGGTTAATCTCAGCCAGCTGCAGAAGCCCTGGTCTCTCGCAGAATCCCTCGCTATAGTCTCTCACTATCCCTAGTACCTCACACTGTGAATGTTTCTTCCTCGCAGCCAGTTTTGCTGTTAATGGGATCTGAGCCCATTCCTAAAGCAATGAGACACTGATGGATGACCTGGTGCTGATGCTGAGACAGAAAGAATGACACAGATAAGCACACCGGAGAAGTTCGTGCCTTTGAGAGCAACACTGGGATCCTTCACTTCTCTGGGTAGCTCCTGCCCGGGACTGAAATAACAGCAAAATTATGGATGCAGTGATGAACTGGAGTGGGAGAGATCTGCAGGACTAACCACAGCTCAGGGATCGAATGGATGGCAACGAGCAAGCAGGTGAGGAAAACGATGGGGCAAATGGCATGGGGCACTTCCTTGTGATTATGTTATGGCATTGCTTCCTACCCCTCTGGCCTCTTGGGGAAATAGTCCAGCAAAACAAAGTTATTATAGTGCTGTAGCTATTACAATATTGCAGTTTTGCTGCTTGGTAGGATAATTATATTGCTATAATAAGTTCTGCCACTGCAAAAGCTGTGCTGGTCCAGAGTGTAATTATTCTAGTAGAACTGTGTCAGTATAACTCCCCTTGTGAATACGACTCTGGAAAAAGCAATTTTATTCTGATATAATTACTTCATTTATTATTCCTCTGTTACTTTCCTACTGAGCCCATCTTTTAAACATTTGTCCTTCCCAAGGGTCCTATTTAAAATATCATCTCCCTTGATCATTTTACCAATTACATATCTTTTCCCTTCTCTCTCTCCTTGGTACCCTGCTTTATTCTCTCACACTGTACTCTTTCAGTAACCTTATTTTCTCCTTCTCCTGTTTGCTCTGTTCTCTTCTTTGCCAGTTTTTGCTTAGCTTGGACTTCACTTTTGCAGCTCACTGAGCACCCTGGTACCTTTCCTACATAAACCATCTCGTAAGCTGTGGTAATAGCTCCTGCTTCAGCAGCACTGGAAGCTGTAGAAACACAGAGAGGTAGAAGTGGTTGCATCAGGTAATGCCCAGCTGCCCTTCCAGCCTCTCCCTGCTCCATCCTGCCCCCATCCAGCCCAGCTCCCGCACAGGGTGCCTTGTACTCACCCTGCTGTTCTGCAGGGCGAGTCTCTCTTCTCCGGGCAGTGCCGTGGCTCGCACGCTCCACACGAGCAGCAGGACGGACACCAGGCTGGCCACCAGCTGCATGACGCACAGGCTGCGGCTACCGGGCTCGCTTAGGAAGACTGGGAGAGGGAGCTGCTTCTGGGCTCTCTTCTGCCTCAGACAATGGCTGCAGCCCCTTTTATAGCCCTCCCCCTAGCCCGGTGGGTGACGCAGACAATTAAGGCTATATCAAAGGCAAATTAGACTTTGGAGAGGTTGTTAACACTTGGCTGCTTGAGTGGGCTACTTCAGTGCCTCTGGATTTTCCATGTGCCAGACCTGCAGAGCCTGAGGAAAGGAGGGTTTGGGAGTCCAAGCTGTCTCTTCACCCCAAGAAACTGTAGGCACTATCTGTGCCTCCCCTGGTTAGATTAATTATTCTTGGGATCATAATGTTGGCCAAAACAGGCCAGCAGCTCGTACAAACCTCTAGCCAGTGCTGGATGATTCAGAGGAGAGATGCAGAACTTCTGGCTGCCAATGCTTAGACGTGGGCTTGGACCCTCCGTCCTTGTGTCCAACCAGCTCCAGGCTTGAGGGGTTTTCTTGGATCCAATCTCTGCCTCAAGTGACGCATCTCACTGTGGAATTTCAATTTGCACGGCTTCCCCAGAATGGTAACGTGGTGATACAGGCAGCTGTAGGGTGCAGAGCATACAGCAAAGCATGCTGCAGCTGTGCAGTAATAAAATCTCTCTCTCTCCCCACCAAGGCACACATCTAAGAGCAAGTTCTCCTCTGACCTTAACAAGCAACCCCCCAGAGTCAAAAGGTAAATTGTTTTCCCTATTTAACACATACAAGAACACAGGGAGGTGGCCAGGCCAAGAGGATGCTGTGGCAGAACTAAACCCAAAAGGTGGAAAAGCCTATTTCCCCATCCCTGCCCCTTACCAGCATCTCAGTTCCTGGAAGCAGCATGATCAGTCTTTCCCTTCAAGTAATCCAGCCCTAATGGCAGTTTTACTACTCTGGGTGCTCAGAAACAAAAAATGCTATCCCTTCTATGTATATTTTAAAAGAAACATGGGATTCCCTCACTGAACGATACAAAGAAAAACAATTTTTTTAAGTGATGTGGTCTCTCGGGGAAAGGTAGCAATTCAGCAATTTACAGGAGTGATTTTTCAAGGGAAAAGACTCATTTGTAACCTCATTGCTCCTTATCCACTGTTTGTGAAAGCTGGCTTCCACACCTTACCTGTTTCCTTTTGGATTGATCTTGCTAGTTTATGTGAATGTACACTATTACTTTTATGAAGGTATTCTGTATATATATTCTATATATTCCATTCATTCTGTTCTATAATGTGTTCTGTCATACACTTTCCAGGCTCTATGGGGTTTGAGACACAGCAGTCAAGCACCAGGCTCCAGCGATTAGCAAATTGCAGGGAGTTGCTAACTGACCCGCGGCCGATCTGCTCGAGTAGATGTAAAAGTAGGAGGATAACAAATGCAGAAAGCGCAGTCGGCTGCTCCAGGGAGTCAAAGGGCAGGTACCTGCGAGCGTGAGATGTGTCTGGGCTGACAGGAGTTGGGTCCTGCACTGTTATTTACAAGGCAGGAATAAACCTCATGGGCCTGCTAGCCCGAAAGCAAGGCAGACAACGGAGACTGTGCAGCCAGGTCTCCATGCTGTGGGCCATCTGGTCTAACCAAACTGCTTGCTTTATTAAATATGGTTTTGTGTGGAGCTTTGCCTTCTCAACGGGAAGTTTTCTGTAATGCTTCATTGAGTGAATGGTGGCACAAGTGTGCCTGGAGGGGAGATGCAAAGTGGTCTGGATGTGTGAGCTTATAAAAGCAAGAAGCACAAAGCAATGACCCCAGAGGCAGTTTGAATGATTGTAGTTGAATGCACCTCTACCAGGAAGAGATGATGTACTGAGCCATAGCTCACCTTTTAGGGGCGCCACAGGGATGTAAACAGTGGGCCTGCCCTGGGATTAAAGGGCAGTAGTAAAATACTGGCTATATCTTGAGGGAGTTGGCTTGGGAGACGGTTTATATCCAGGGGTGCCCCAACAAACCTGTGGCTGTGCTGGCCAGCATACTGCAGCCAAAACATGCACTTCTCTCCTGGGCAAGACTTGGTGTTTCTGCCCTTAAGGGGATAAAATTTGCTCTTTTTACTAACT